CGTTTGTAAACAACTTATTTCATATACTCATTAATTTAAGATTTTTGTCGCGTTTCCTTATGCATTACTCGATTTATTTTCTTTGTTGTCTTTCTCTCAAGTGATTGGCTGTTGTTTGATATCCCCGGTGCGGCTGCGCTTGATGTGCATGTTGACAAGGTGCGTACCTGTCTGTTACCCGTTAGCTCGTCCATACTGGCTCTAGGAGACAGTTGTTCGTTGCCGAAGAGGAAAGGTTGCACGGTTCTTGTGGCCGTGTTAGGATAAAAAAGTGACTCCATGCACTCAGTGTGGAGCGCACTACGGTCCAGCCTCCGTCTTGTGTGCTGTTGATTCCCCAAATACACCGTGCTTGTGTTTGCCTGTGAAGGAATGTGGGCCGGCTCCGTTGATGAAAAGTGTCTCCCATCCACACGCCTCCCGGTCTTATTCCTTCGAGTTCACACTGGACATGTGTGTGTGGTTGGAGCTGTGGGTGGTGCAGCGCAAGCCACCCATGGTCCCTCTATAGGCGCAGGCGTTCTGTGACTGTCCACAGTGACAGGCAAGTCGGAAAGCGGATGCCGCCACCCACACACATATATATATATATATATATATATATATATATATATATATATATATCAGGGAACGAGTTATGTGAAGTATATGATCTGCTGCTGGAACTGTGATAAATAAAACGTGGGACAGGCTTGTTGAAACTTGGTTCAAAGCTACATGAACACAGCCTAGCTATTCGTCGGCACGATCAGAGCTTACTGATGTCCGTGCATATCGATGCCGGGAACAGCCAATTCGACGCGGAACACAACAACATCCTCGGAAATGCCAAAAGCCGGTAAGCACGTGAGTTCTTCGAACCCTAACATTCAAAGCAGAAGTCGTCCAATAAGCACTTTGACATCAAGTCGCTTACGAGGCACTGCGAACAAGGGCCCTGGAACCACCCCCATAAGACAGGTGCATTGCCGACACCGCTATATCTTCCACGATGTGAATGGAATGTCTGGATTAGACACTTTTTTATGCATCTAAACTTCTAACATCAGTCACGTGTCTTCTGTTGGAAGGTAGGGCTGCTCTGTCTTGAACGGATTCTTTCCGTCATCACTCTGTCGCGTAGCATTTTCCGGATGCTGGTTCAGCATACTTCTTTGATTGCCGTACCAACGGTTACACTTATTTAAGCCGAACTATTTGTGGCTCGAATTCCTCAACCACATTCACCTCCACTCCTTTTCAGCTGTAGTCAGCTTACATAGGCGACGCTTGATTGGATTTCTACTCTCTGATACCGCCTGCTCAACCTAATGACCATCATAACAAGGGTTGATCACCACATTCCATTTCAACTTTATGAATGCTGCCCACCTCCATTTCTCTTGGGGATTGAAGTTCTGTTGCTTCACCGACTGTCAAACTTACGGTACGCCGATCCAGTTGACATACAAACGATGCTGAATAAGCTCATGCGTGGTGTTGCATACTTTTGGACGCACTTTAAACCATCAGAGTGTAGAGCACCGCTACAGAACTCGGCCGATTCATCAGCAGTTCTCATTATAACCGAGTAACCACCCGTGATGGCCGATCGTTTCTTAACGGAGTCGGTAACAGACTTACTGTAACCGCCTGACCACCGCCGATTAGCGTTACCGTTTACTGAAGAGAAATCCGAGATAGTAAGTCGAAAGCGGAGCCAGCTAGGAAAGAATGATTAGTTACTACGAGTCGCAGCAGCGCTATCACGCAATCGAGTGTGTTTGGTGCTTACTGTGTAGATAGTTTTAACATGCAGATGGACATTTTGCAATAGGTTGACAATTTTAATACAACGCAAAACTCAGGTATACGAGGGGAATTGCCTCATTGCTATAGATTCTCATCTGGGTAGTTGAGATCCACATCATCGGAAACTACTGCATGCAGTGCTACGGCTAGTACAGCTTTCCATAGCCGTAGTGATTTACAGAAGCAATATATGGGCTTACCGGCTGAAGGCGCCACGGTGCGACCAGTGGTTGAATCAGGATCTGACCACCATGCGCTGACAACGTAAAGATAGTAATTATGCTTCATCCCATATGCCTGGGCATTGTTGCCCAAGTCTGGTAGAGGAACCCAATTAGCAACGCATAAGTCGGTTACGCAGAGTTTCACAACAGACACTCCGATTGTTCCTGGAGGTGCATATTGAGCCGGAATCGCGTCCACTGGCCTGGTCATTTGGTGTGCATACTTGTGACTAGACTTCCTTGAGGTTTATTGTCCTTCAATAAAGCTGCTGATTGGGCGAAATCTCCTGGGTTGGTCACTAAATGACATGGCGGAACATCATGAAGGAGCTCATCGAAAATATGACCGGAGTTGGCGCTTGTCGTCCTGGATTTTGTCCTCAGTGGGTGGATAACTCGTCGTGTACGCCAAGGTTACGAATTCAGAAGCACACCTGCATTCATGTCGGGCTTTTACTCATTCCAGCTTGGTCTTTTTTATCTTTTTCATGCTTATCGATATGTCAGTGTTCCGGTTGACACATATCAAGGTGACGGGATCCGATGTACCACGATGTCCGGATCAAAGTTGCTCATCCCAGCCAAATCCCACGATTCACATGCCCATCTACCCCGAGAAGCCTTGTTTCTAAACGCTGTACGAGATTAGCCAGTCGAGAACCTTCTCAAAGATATCAAGCCGAGCTAGTTTGCGCCGTTTTCACAAACAAATGCTTCAGAATTGCTCAAACGAAAGATTAAACACCTTGCTTGACACATTTGCCGATTCAACGGACCCCTGTATCCTGCTGTCACTCTTTCCTTCCCATGACGATCAAATTCGCAACCCCCACTCCTTATAGTTGCATTTTGCTTGTGGATTGGCATCCGCTTCATTCTTTACGTCCCCCTACCAACTTGCATTAGCATGGCCGCGAAAATCGAGATGACCATACCTTTTCGCCTTCAATTTCACCCATAACACTCAAAGTTATCCTTAAAAATCGCACTTAATAAAGCTCTCAATATGGTCGTTAAGGTTACCGAATTGAATCCAACGAGAGCGAACGCATCTCAATGCCACTGTACATTGAGTGATCAATCCCAAATCGGCTAACAACATCCTACTTCGTGTACTCATCTGTTATAATATCAGCTGATTTGGGATTGGTCACTGAACGAATAATACGCAATTTTAAAGAGCATCTGGCTCCCTGAATGCAACTTGATATTATTAAGGACCATGTTGAGAAATCTATGGAAGAACATGATTTCCTTAAGGAGGAATTTGAAAGCGCTATGGATGCAATTAGCTGAGAAAAGGTATAGATTGATGTGAACAACCCGGATGATAGCCGAACAAATAAACCAAATCTGGTCAGGGGCCCCATCCTGCTAAACTAAGCAGCTTAATCCATTGAGCATTTCCCTGGCTCTGATAAGAGCATTCCAAGATGAATGTGTGGTCAGAAACAGCTTTTTTGGTATTTGCTTTACGAGCGTATATCAAGACCAAACAACAATGGAACCACGGAATCCATCCAGATTTAGGAATGCCAGCAATGACGGTTTGGTGGTTACATGGGGATCGGACCCTTGCACACAAAAGATATAGCGTTATGGGGTGCAGTGTATGAATGGACTGATGCGTCCAGCCCCACTTCCGGAGCGCTTTCGAGACCGAAGAGCTCTCGTACGAATAATGGAATCCAGACTTTAATCGTACTCATAAGTAGGGGATATCTGATGTCATTAGTTGAGAGTTCGTCGCACCAGCTTCCACATCAGATAGTCGTTCACATGCCCGGAAAAGCTATAGAGTGCATTTTCAAACTATCGGGCATTTGTCCGTTGAAACTGCAGTCTAGCGCTTTTCCGGGCATGTGAACGACTATCTGATTTGGAAGCTGACTGCGACTAACACTCAACTTATCAGACGTCAACTGTTATTGTTTTAAGGCGAACGCGTGCAACAGTGTTCGATCGAGAGTGGGTGACTAAAACCAAAGTATGCTAATCAAAACATGAGGTGGTCGAATTCAGCAACCAATCGCCTAGGCTACTGATTTGACTAATCTGAAAACATGACAATCGGGTACGTTTATGTCGCCTCCGCACATTTGGTCGGACTTCCAGCGATTGGAGAGGTAAACAAGTGCGCAGTTGGCAGATTATCTTACAAGTTAACGAGGACAACCAGTCAAGTCGTGATCTGATTACATGGCAGGCTGTCAGAAAGAGATTGCTTCATCGGAGTTCTCCCACCCACTTGGATGGAGAATAAGTGTATCCAGAGCTCCAATCAACTGGTAGTGCATAAAAGAAGATATGGTTGACTTGAGTGTAATGGAGTAACCAGATGCAGCCTCTTGAAAAGCGAGGCCTAATGTACACGCGAATTATGGTGGTACACGATCGCTGTCTCGTAGGATACATACGGGATTAAAGTAGAAACATACCGATAACATTTTTGCCCACCAATATGGATCGGCTGAATCAAGTGGAATCGCTAACGGTGTTCGTGGCGTTTCTACAGCCATAGCATAAAGGACGTGTTTCACTCCAAGACTGAGTGGAAGCACTTGCCTTAATGCGTCAATTCATGCAGACTGTGTTCAAACGACCGATAGACTCCAAGCTATGAAAACGAATATTGAACACTAGAAATTTTCAAAAATCCACAGCTAGATTTCCCATTCGCCCTGTAATTTCAATTCGCCTTTGCTCAACAATCTGATGAGCGGGCACGTTTTCAGAACATTTCTCTGTTTGATGTAGATGTGTTCGTGTGGTTATCGCGTTACACGATCGAAACGCTATAAGTAACGAGTTCGGAATTCATATTTGAGACATTTAAAGAACTGCGCTACTTCGCTATCGATATAGCAGATTATGGAGGTTCATTTCTGGTTGTATGTATATACCCGTAAACAGTTCTTGAACGGTCTAGCTCGTACACGTGTTCGGAAAAGACCGGCCGAGTTGACAAATACTAGGTGAAGACTGCGGCATCCGTAAAGAATGGATTGTGTATACAAAAGTACAATGATGCACGAGGAGTTAAGTGAAAGAGACATACAATAAAAGACACAGTAGCTGGCTTCAACAACACCACAAGTTGATCCACGTAAGCATCCACAAGGATGTGAACCCGGCGGTGAAAACGTGCCAAGTCCAACATCCGAAGAGATTCGCTTCGATGAGCAGCTGTGTCACGGTGCGTGCCATATCATCCCATATCTTCACTGAGGTTGCCAATGACGTTTGAGACCCACGCTCGAAATAGTGCAATCGTGCCAGGCAACTGAGAGCCAGGAGAACCGGGGGTGATACGATCAGCCAGCAAAAACCGAAAAGGCCTGATAGTACTCTGTGTGCAAATGAAAATGACAGGGAGGTAAAAAAAAGGTTGTTGCCGGGAAGGCAGGAGATTGCTACAGGAATGTGTATTCATATCGATTTTGAAGGCTGAACTATTGATGTCACGAACCTGCGGAGGAGCTTTGTTCAAGTGAAAGATTTAATGATCCAGATTACCCAGTAGTTGAATCGCGCGTGATTGGCGAACAGCGGCGTCATAGGATATGCTTCGCTGATCACAGTGATTGGACAGGAGGCGGTTTCTTAAAAAAACGAATTGGTGAGTGACTTAAACAATAAAGTGCCTGCTTACGCTCCGAAGATCACCGGTGTGGGTGCTCACGACTTCGAAGTATGACCAGCCCATGCGCGACTAGAGTTGGTAGCGTGGCAGCGTGCTGGCGTATCGCTGACATTTGTCTTAAAACGAGAAGTCACGGGCACATTACCAAGCAAATAATACAGCGAACCGTATGCAACTTAGGAGTAAGTGAGGCTGTGTGAGGCAGAACAAATGAAACTACGACATACTGCGCATCGATCGGAGCACGAGATCACACTCACGTGGGAACGATCTATCACAGAGGATCCTAGTTTGCATAGTCTATAAACTTGCTGCGATTACTGACCTCAAACAAGTTGTTACATGAGACCGGATCAACGGTACAGAAAACACAAGGGAATAAACTCTGAAAGTATTTCACTTCGCGAGCTAGCCAGACCGGGGTGTTGGATAAAACTCCGTTATGAAGCAGCTGGCAGATGTGATATCAGAGACAAACTCAGCAGCTCAGCAGTTAATTTGCAGAAGCAAGCGCATACGACTCATTGGTTCGTGGGCGAGTTCATGTCCCATCACTGCGACTCAAACCAGCTACGTTAACATACAACTGGTTGGTTTCAGAACATCTGCCCCCTCACATAGACCACCTCAATGGTGAGAGTTAGACTATATTGCACAAATATTCGCTACAGACATGACAGGCGCATACCCCCAAGGTTCAATCAAGGAAGACAGTACAAAGCTGAATTTAGGGAGCATGCTGTGTGGTTGGGTTGCGATTCGCAACCTCTATTGAGACCTTGGCTCACTTTGAGGTAAACCTCGGTCATTCCGATCTCGAGGACCGTATCCTGAATGGATATATTTGGGTGTTGCTCTTCCCAACACCGGCACTGGTGGTGTGTCAGTGTTGAGAAGAGCAACACCCAAATACACACAGTACTCTGCGAGGAACACCAACGAACATGCAGTTCAATCGTTGGCAGGACAGTCCGACATCCACATTGTGCATGATTTTGTGTGCAGATAAGTCTCTCAAGCTTACATAACAGACATTCGACAAAAGTGGATTAATTTGAGGCAGAATACGCTTACTACAACGTTAAGCGTATTAGAGTTGATCCAAAGTGTATTATCTTACGAGTATGTAAACTAGAGCATCTCACAGGCCCATAAAATTTTCGCTATAAGATAAAATCATTTCGGAGGTGAATGAAATGTGTCAGCTTATACGCCGTAACGGCGCTTCGCTGCCGCGCGACCACCACCAGTCGCGCGCGGGCTGAGTATACCGCGAGGACGCCCACCCCTACGCGGATTCGAACCGGTGACCTTATGGTTGGAAAGCAAACGTGCCAACCACTCGGCCACCGGCCGGGAGGTGAATGATGTAGTTGAGAATTGTTAAACGCAGTTAACGGAAGCATATGCAATAACGTAAGACAGCTTGACGTAATAAGATGTGGTTTATTTTAAATCTCCACGTTTTCAGCTATTCCGAATTAAACATCAAAAAGTTTATCCGCAATAGTTCTAGCCCAGGCGAAGAGAAATCAGAAGTCCGACGACCTTGATCACGAAAAAGGTGTTAACAAAAACGCCGCCGAAACGCTGCACAATTACGCCAGATCTACGCCAAATATATACGGGGCTCAAGGAGCTTAGGCTTCCAGAAAAGGAAGTTCAACTGGTAAAATTAGCAGTCTCCCTGTCAAAACTCCGTATGCTGTCAACCAAGTGAAGAAATAGAAAGTTCCGGAATCTTCGAAATCAATGCACGATGGGAGATAATCGATTAACTGCTAAAATAATGGGTTCTCCTTTATGTTTTTACCTTTTAACGGATAGCTCCCGACCTGAAACGGCTGCCGCGGTGTAGGATGCTAGCCTGGGATTGATCTGAAGCCTTCTGGAAGAGGTTCTACGCCTATCGGTCCATCGCCCCGGTTGTAGTTTTCTGGATTCATGTTCCATGCTCTGCAGTCTGGTTCCATTCGTCTGAGGACAGGGTTCTTCGAGGGGCTGTTTAGGCAAGTTGAAGCTGTCCGTCAATAGGTCAAATGGAAGCTCGGCGGATTCCGTTGCTTGTGGCTGACACAGTGTTGGTCGCAGTTGGCTTGCATGGCGAACCCATACCTGCGTTCCAACCAGCAGGTTGTAAATAACATTCTCGCGCTTGCCCTAGATCGTGCTTGGCGTCCACTTTGCGTGTCCTTCTCGGTAATCACGTATAAGTACTGGCTGACCCAGTTTAAACGGACGTCGTTTAGCACCATACCGCCGATTAAAGTCACGTTCCATCTTGAGGTTCCTTTCACCAGCTCTAGACCCTGAGGAAGGCCGAACTGCATCAAATGTCATGCGAAACTCTCTCTTCATCATTACGTTTGCTGGTGACACTTCACCCAGCGTTTGTGGATTTTTGTAGACCGGTACAGAAAGAGGAAACGGTCGATCACCTTCTCTATGTCTCCCTCCCTCCTTGATTTGAGGAGAGCGCGTTTGAATGGATCCACAAATCTCTCCGTCTGGCCATTTGACTGTGGGTGTAATGGTGTAGACCGCAAGTGTTTGATGGCGCAGCGTTTGCAGAACTCCGTGAATGTGGCCGAAGTAAACTATGCTCCATTGTCCGTCATCAATGCTTCATGGCAGCCGAACCTACTGAAGATTTGTCGCAACCTCGAGACTATTGCGCTGCTTTTCCTGCTGCTCATGAAGAACACTTCGGACTACTTGCTGTAAGCATCACCACTATGAGAAAGTTCTGGCCATTGATTGGGCCTGAAAAGTTGACGTGAAGACGGCTCCAAGATTTAATTGGTTCAGGCCACGAGTGGAGTTCAGACATTGGCGGTGCTCTTGAAGATATAGCGCAGATGCTACATCTTCTAGCTAGCTGCTCCAGCTGTCTGTCCATAAACGGACAACACATAACTTCGGGCAAGCGCTTTCATTCGGTTGAGCCCTAGACGTCCTGCATGGAACCGTCGCAGCACTCTTTCTTGCAACGCCTGAGGGATGACTATTCTCTCTGAGAACATGAGGCAATCATTCACAATGGAGAGCGAATGTCTTCGCTGATAAAACTGCTGCATTTCGGCAGATAAATAAGAACGTGGCCAGCTAGTTCTGCGGAAGTGTGTAACCTTCCTCAGGATTGGATCTCGGAGCGTTTCGGCCCGCACAGCTTCGGCCGTAAGTGGCAGATCATGTAGCGTCTCGCTCACTAGGAATTTGACATCAGGTTCGATCTCAACTGAGGCCATGATGGTGTTCTCGTGTTCTTGCTTCTGGGAATCAATGAGGCGTGACAACGCATCTGCCTGGCCCATGGAAGCCGTTGACTAATAACGAATTCCAAAATCATAGCCCAGCAAGGTGAGTGCCCATCGTTGGAGTCGATTCGCTGTATAGGCAGGAATTCCTTCCTTCGAGCCAAAAATGGCCAGCATCGGCTTGTGATCCGTCAAGAGTTTGAAGCAGCGATCATACCCCACCTTGTGAAATTTCTTCACAGCAAACACTATGGCCAATACCTCCTTCTCGATCCGACTGTAGTTTCTTTCGGCTTTCGTCAACGTTCTGCCGGCATGTGCGATCGCCTTCTGAGATCCATCGGAGAACGTATGGGAAACTACGGCACCGATCTCTAGACTCGACGCGTCTGTGTCGAAGACGATTTCTCGGGACGGGTCAAAGTGAGTCAGGAGTAGGTAGGAAGCCAGCAATGACTTGACCCGCTCGAACGCAGTCTGACAATCTGGCGGCCAATTACAGGTTTGGCCCTTGCTCAGCAACTTGTTCAGCGGGGCATGCAGATGATGCGGTTCGGGTAGAAAAGCGCTGTAATGACTGATTAGGCCACAAAATGAACGCAGCGATTGCAAGTACAAAGGCGGGGGAAACTTTTGAATAGCTCGGATATTTTCTGGATCAGGGGACGACCGTCTTTTGAGAAAATGAACTCGAGAAACTTGATGATTGATGTAAAAAATGTACACTTGTCTTCACGGATACGGAAACCATATGACGATGCGTACAAATACTACAGCTATCCGCTGAAATAGTTCTTCTGCCGTCCGACCCATTAAAATGATATCATCCAGGTACGCAGCTCCAGGAACTCCCGCAAGCATAGTGTTCATCAGCTGCTGGAAGATGCCTGGTGCTGTTTTCACTCCAAATGGGAGACGGTTGTACTGGTACAAGCCACGATGAGTGTTGATGGTCAGCAATTCTCTCGAGCTTTCATTAACCTCGACCTGGAGGTGAACATCGGACAAGTCGAGCGTGGCGAAACACTTCCCACCATTCAGCTTGGCAAAGATATCCTCCGGTATCGCAAGGTGGTATTGATGGTCATCCAATACGGCATTCAGGCCAGTAGAAAAATCGGCACAGACTAGCACTTTACCGTTCGGCTTTCTCACAGCAACAATCGGCGCAGCCCATGAACAGTAGTTCACTGGTGTGATGACACCCGCTCATTCCAGTCGGTCGAGCTCCTGATCGACTGCTGCCATGGCTGCATATGGTACCGGACATTTTGCTCTGGAGACTGAATTGGTTCCTTCGCGAAGGCACAACTTTGCTTTGAACTTAGTGCAGTGACCGAGACCATCTTCAAGAAAGGTGGCAAACTACTGCTTTAGCTTTCTCATGTCTTCTATCGACAATGATGCACGGACTGAATCGGCTTGGACTCTACTGCAAATCTGACTCGTTGGAACATCAAACAGTTGGAACTTTGCCATCCAGTCAAGCCTAAAGTGGTTCAAGTTTGGTCGGTCAGACAAGTAGCAGGTTCCGGCCTGTTCCAGTCCGCTGAATGCAATTTTGCAATTTATTTCTCCGACTAGCTTCAGCACTCCACCGGATGCGTTGTGAGCGACTGTTGGAATCAACCATCTTCGGCTTCTTTAGGTGCTTCCAAGTGTTCCTGGAAATGATCGTTATATCTGATGCCGTATCGAACTGCAACCGGGTTGGGATTCCGTTGATGAGCACAGTGATAAATCGGCGGCGTTCTAGAATCGCTGTGAAAAGTGGCAATCGCCAATAGTGATTCTGCGTCTGGCTTCCTGAAGTTCTTCCTTCGGTAAGATTGCTTCAGGTTTCTTGGGCGGGACTGATGACAAAAGTGTTCCTTGTGACCGCGTTTATGGCACTTATCACAAATGTGACGCTTGAATCGACCGTGTCGTGCGAAATGCCATTCCCCACATAACCAACAAGGTGTAGGCCGCTTGTTCGGCGCTCTGTTGAACGGCTTGTTCGAGCCACAGCCTTTCTTACTTTTTGCACAAAATGAACAGTATCAGCAATGATAGGGCGACTCCGCTCAATCATAGTGGTGTCGTGTTTTAAAGTAATCAACCGTTTGCATTCGCCTACAAGAGACTTCCATGTCAAATCTGGATCTTGATCCAAGTTAGGAAGGAGCCCAGTGGGGATTTCCGCGTCGCGTGGACACTGTAAAGCACTGACAAATATGAGACACTTAAACTGGTCATCCGTTAAACAGCGTAACTTGAAACGTTCACAATCAAGGTTAACCATGTCTGCTAGTGCCTCATAATCGTCTGTATCACGCTTACCAATTTTTAGACATTGGTAGCGAATGCTAAACAAAGTCGTTGACTCACTAAAAATTACTTTGAGTGTTGCCACTGTTTCATTGAAAGTGATATCCTTCGGCCGTTTGGACAGGATGTGGTCAACGAATCTTGTATGTTCATTAGTACCGAGCTTGCGGAGCAAAAGACGCACTTTCCATGAATCATCTTGACGGCTGAAATCCGTCCGGAACATATCCTCCCAGCGTTTGAACCATGCCTCGAAAGTGCTTTCGGAATAAGTATCATAATGAAATCCAGTGACAGTATTCGTAAGAAGATCAAGTGAAACAGACTGCGTGTAACGTGCAGCTGCTCCGTTTGACTGTACCTTCAAGCGCTGCGTTAAACTTTCAATCAGTTTCATTTATGCTTCCATCTGGGATTGTTGCTGAAGAAGCAGATTTTGAGAGTGTTCGGCGGAAAAGTTTGTGACATTTTCGTGCCTGCCTGTCGCCATTGTTACATCTTCACGTTTTCACGCTATTCCGAAGTAAACACCAAAAAACTTTTCCGCAAAAATTCTAGCCCTGCCGAAGAAAAATCAGAAATCTAACGACCTTGACCACGAAAAAGGTGTTAACAGAAACGCCGCTAAACGTAGCCGAAAAGCTGTACAATTACGCCAGACCTACGCCAAATATATATGGGGATCAAGGACTTTCGGCTTCTAGAAAACGAAGGTAAACTGGTAAAATTAACTGTCTCCCTGCCAAAACTCCGAATGCTGGCGATCACGTGAAGGAATGGAAGGTTCCGGAATCTTCGAAATCAAGGCACGATCGAAGATAATCGATTAATTGCTAAAATAATGGGTTTTCCTTTATGTTATTTTACCTTTTTCCGGATAGTTTAGGTCATTGGCGTTACAACTTGTGCCAATTACGCTTAGCGCAACACACAAGACAGAAGCAATTTGCTCAGTTCAGCAGCCAAATATGAACCAACTCCAGATGCACGATCCATTGCGTTGTCATAAGTGAGATCATCAAAGAATGGCGCAACAAACACTTAGCATCACATTTGAGTTAACATCCGCACACTCAGTCGTGAGTAGAAATACGTTCAGAGAATGAAGTAAATGCAACCGGAAGTAATGTTTTCATTTGCCGGATGTAAGGTCGCGCAAAGTTCGAGCCAGGTAACAACCGATGTGGATGCGGGAAATGAAGTCACTGAGAAACCGATGAACAGACTGTTATTTGTTTGTCCATCTAACTTTTTTAGACTGGGGCGCACGAGATTCGTTCGTTGCTCCACAGAACAGGGATCACATTTGACACCAGCGGTGGATTGTTGTTGTCTCTTAATTGGTTTGCCCATCTAAACTGTGTTGGATGCTGAGTTAGCTGCGAGGAAATGGCTAATACTGACGTGAGGCAATGAAAATCGCGTGTTGCCTCAACGATGCCGTCTTATCTTCGCACGATAACCAGCTTTTTGTGACCGTAGGTTGCCTACACGATGTAGGCGTCTTGACTCTGAATGTATGCTTAAGGCACTTAGGTTTTACACAAGATCTCCCATCTCTCCCTCATGGTATTCTCCATTCCTTAGGTTATTGTAGTTATACGGCAGTGAAGCACCATCTCAAATGGCCGAGATAAGATCGTCATGTGGATGGTTAGTGGGCAGTGTTAGTGCATTCCCCAAACCGGAACCATGTGTGAGCATTCAGTTAAGATACATTTACAAGATCGATTTCACTACCGATCTGTGTGACAAATGGACCACAATATTTCGACTGACTGGTGACTCTCTTTCTCATCGCCGAAAGTGTTTGTTACTTCGATAAGAAATTGTCCATCAAAACACAAGTTCGTGCGAAGTTACATTTGAGTGTAATGAGAAAAAAGCAAAAATAAACTTCGGAGATTAGCGGGGTTAGAGCACATTTGCTGCCAGTAACCCAGGAGCATTATGATGGTTCGAACTACCTCTATGAATAGAAGTTTGTGCTGCCTGAAAAGCAGTTCCCCAGGCCTTAGGAGCCGTGTAGACGGTAACAGAATAAAAAAGTCACATGCTATCGCTGCGAAAGTTGACCCATTTTGGTCCAAGGACTTAAAGTGTATGTAGATTCTTGCCAAGGCTGTGCGTAGAGCATCACTGGTGACATCGTGTTTCCTCGAAAACCAGTGAGCGCAGGTAATGGGGATTGTGTGTGTTCGTTTGCTTGTCAATGAAGACGGATTGATTTGCGTTTGTTCGTCACTTAGTGTGAAATTGAGCTGTTTACCCAATGCTGAAAGGTTCAAAGGCAGCAACCGTCGACCTAGCCAGCTGGAGATGAAGTCTCTGTCCATGGACTGTGTGTTGGTCTTTCTAGATAGCGGTCCGAGCGACCCACTCCACACCTAATTTGTAGCATTACGTGGAATGGCTTGCAATTAGCGCCAGTGATGAGCTTGTCATCATCCCCTAACCGGACTACTTGTATAAAGTAGGTCTGCTGCTGCGTTGTTTGTGCAGTGAGACTGATCATGATGTGTGTTGCAAGAACCGTCCTGTTGATACCGCCGTACTTCATTACAATCGCCAAGTTGCTGTGATCATGTGATAATGGCAAGATGTAGATGCCTTGATCGCGAGTGCTTGATTGGTGATTTTAGATCTCGTTAGGCCCCTCTTCCCATGATTCACCCATCGTATAGCCCATAGGTTTCAGTCAGAAAGTAGCGAAGCATCGATACCGAGGTGTTGCGGTGCCAAGGAGCTCGTACACGCTTATCCTAGGGACAACCCAAAATCAGTAAACAAACGCACTAGTACTCTATGTTTAACTGCATAGATAAGCGAAGTGCAGAAAAGCGGACTGCCACTTAGGCATATTCTAGCAATGCACCGTAGTGTAAATTGGCTTGCTGGCCAGTGAAGATCCTTTCGACACTGCGACAACTGGCCAATCCATATGCAGTGTTAAGGATTCCTTTCAACTTATCCATGATTTGGATAACATCAACCTGTCCTACAGGTTTATGTGTTCGCTGTATGTGGAATCGCTGTTCAATAACGTCTCGCTACACCAGCCGCTTGGTTACATATGCGAACTAGCTGAACAATCTGGCTATTCGTTATCAAATTCAGTCGAATTTCCAAATGAATCATTGCTGTTGTGAATGGAAGACGTTAGCATCCACTTTCAGAATACACCATACCATCAAATCGAGGGAGTGACAATGGCTCTGTACTCACCGACTTCTTAATGATGACGACATATAGAGGCAAATCTACAAAAAATAGCCAAGCTGCCATACCATAGGCGTTAGGTGGATGACATATCCGTCTTTTGTTCGTCGTAGCAACTTATCGACCCACCTGTGACGTAGCACAGAACTGTATGCTAGTCTTGGACATACTTGTCAGTCGCAAAAATGGCGGACTCATAGAGAGGTCCGTCTAAAGAAAAGCAACAAGGTCTGACGAATACCTGCACTTCATCTACACTTCACTTAAAATGGCGGTTACCGCGAAAAAAGACTCCAAAAGCAAAAGAGGAGTGCAGGAAAGTTGTTGGGCTGAGAGCCACCGCGAGTCACGAATCTTGTTTGTGTCTTAGAGAGTGGGGTGGAGGCAGGGACTTACTTGGAATTCCGCGAACCGTGAACGAACAGTAGAAGCAACGGTACAACCACCACACTCAGGAACAGACTCGCTGACACATTTAGACACGCAGCACAGGCCAAAAACAATGTCCAGGTGACCAGAAGGATGGAGGTTGACCAGGCGGAGTTAGATTGTATGGGTGAGACGAAGCAGCTGAAGAGTGCAACAATGCAAATATGGAGATGCAACGTTAGCTGTACCATGAAGATGTGAAGCGCTCAATTATCTCATAAGTAAGTAGAGGAAAGCAGTCCCTAGAGGATTGGTGAGAAAGCAAGCGAGTACGCAAGTGATATGGAGCACTGCCAAAAGAGTGATGTGATCCTGAAGAGTGACCACGCGCGAAAAACGCGTAGCGGAAGTAGCTCTAGACAGGTGTGAAGTGAATGCATTTTCATACTGCTATCTAGTGTCGTGTACCGCATTGGTGGACATGAACCGGTGGCCAACAACGTGTTCGCACCATATAGAGCCATGCCTAATGCAGCCAGACTAAACTAGGCGAATGATCTATTTGCACAGCATGAGCAATGGAAGAGTGTTTATATACCTGATGGAAAGGTATCGCGAAGCCGCTTACGTGCTTACACACCCCGATACTTTGGATTGAATGCACGAGTGGAGCAAGCGTTGCGCATCATGCATGACTTGAAGTTGTACATCCCAGAAAAGCAGATCTCAATGTCGTCCTACATCGATGGCTGGAGTAGACTTATCCGAACACAGTGTAGTAACACGGCCAGCAGCTTGTTGGCAGATTATAAAGCAAAGGGTATTGGAAACCCCTCACAAACGAGCAAATGAGTGTAGCATATTCTGTAATCTGCATTAGTTGTCGCCAAACGAGAGTAGTCAATAAATAAAATTGGGAACCAATTGATCAAACTTGCCCGAAGCACTGAAGTGGTGTCGGCATACTGATTCTCGAATACAGTGGACCGCAAGGAAACTGAATATGATCATTATCCCAGAAGGACAATCAGAGTATCTAACATATACATAACTGAGAGCTAATAAAATGCAAACAGCGATTTAAGTGGTCTTGCCCGATGTTATACTTTTGCTGGTAAAAAAAACCGATGATATCAGACCCCAATGAAATGCTGTTCATTCCCAGAAGGAAAAAGAGATAAATACCGACAAAGTTTGTCATCTGATGCTTGGTAGTAGGTAATTCGGAGCCTCGTCGAAGTGCCCGTTGACCTCAAATAGTCTCCGGTGACTAAATCGTGGTCCTCGCACAACTGTAAGCTGTCTGACTCAGTGTTCACCATCTACTGACTATGTAGTTGTGAACCCCCGATGAATGGCGAAGGAGCATGAAAAAGTCCACTGAAAGGTTAGGTAAGATTAGGGGACTAGCGTTTACAGTCGGAGCCCACAGGATCAGCCGCAACAGCGGTTAGACACTTGATCGAGTTGGCGCAATAAGGAAGGTAGGAGTGATCTGACACCTAGTTCCTTATTTCTGGTCATTATCTAACATTGCTGGTGAATTATTTTTCGGTTGTTTCTCCTAACTTGTGTATTTAATAGATGTACTACACGTCGATGCGTGAATAACGGCTGAGACGTTGAACTGCGTCACAGTATGTGGCACAACAGTAATCGGATGACACATGAGGGCGATCGAACTCGTGGTCCCCGTTGCTAAGATGCTATGGTCGCAAAATTCCTTCGGATTGCCGTAAAGGTTCAAACGTTTTGTTTTGAAGCGCAACGGATACCAGCACAGCAACACGATCGGCATTTGACTGCACATGCGATACCAAGCGCAATGTTATCGATTGTGGTGAAGGAGTCTCCTAATTGGATAAATTCTCTCTGCATATCTGTAAGTTTGTGCACGTGCGGGTAGAAGAGAATGTAGAGACGAAGTGAAATAACATAGCACCGCAAACCGATAACCCGAAAGGTTGGTTGTTTGCTCTCACGGAATGAGTTGGTTAAGTAGAGATTCTAAAACGTGGAAAATGGCTGGTAGGTGTAAAAGCAAATGTTGCGGGACTGTTGTAGTATTCGCCGTGTTTGGATCGCGATACGCAGCCTCATTCTTGTCTGGGGACTTCATGAGGAGAAAGACAGGGCTGGAAACTGAACAAAGGAGACTTTTGTTTCAGAATGTTTTACAAATAATCAGCTGTTTTCAAACCCATCGGAAGCCAGGAGTTTTCCATTGGTTCCAAGCATAGCATAGTGTCGGCAGATGGCCGAGTAGTCCGCACGCCTGGTACCCGGTTCGAATCCACATAGGGACGGACGTTCTCGTGGTATACTCGGCCCACGCGCGACTGGTGGTCGCGCGGTAGCGAAGCGCCGTTACGGCGGACAGCAGACATTTTATTTTTTTTTCCGAGCATAGTTCAAGATGTGGAAAAGATACGGTGGTTACTGGCTGACGTCTCTTTTTAATGAACTACAAACCGTACGAGGAATGTTTGTCACGATGATAAGTAAGTTAAGTTTGGGCTTGGAACACCAGTACTGTAATTGAAATGTGAAACACAGGTCATTTCGATCTCTGGGATGAAATCAGAAGCGGCGGAATTTCACTCGCTGCTCACTTCCAGCAACGTGCGCCGTGACCGGGCTCATCCTTGTCTCAGCAGTATGATTTGGGAATATGGGATGTTAAGTACCTGAGCTTCAATGTGGTGATACAGTGGATGAGGAAGCGAGAACATTGGCTTCCATCTCTCCACTCGTAAGCAAAAGCGAATAAAATAACAATAGCGGAGGTGAGCATCAGCAGTTAGTAACTTCGGTAGATAGGACAAAGAGACTTGTCGTCAGTTACAAACCAAACCCTCAGGCACTGTTCATTAGACGGTAGAAAACTGCTCATCCTCGACCGTGTTCATCTATGGAACTAAGAAGGGAGTAATGACTGCCCCAGCGTGGTAGAGGTTGGTTGCCACTAACCCCCATTGCCGGTGCAACACTACCCATTTACGATTGGATGCTCCGGGTTTGGAAGTGAATTGTGATGCATCAGTAAACCACCTTTAGCGTTTGGATAGTCGGTAGGAGGTTAATCATGTCCATTGTATGCCTATCATCCGTCTTGCCCGGTGTGTTTGGTAGTCTCTACTCGGGTGGGTGAGGCCACAGGGTAGCTAACATAAGATACCACATCGCAGCGTGACCAAGGGACGTAGTCGTATTCTGACTTGCTAGATGGGCACATCGGTGACTAGATACCCAACGCAGCATGGAGCAGACACGCAGTCAGCGGAACACTTGCATAAGGAACATGTCATTCGGTAAACCGCTTCAGCTCCCTGCAATGGATTTTTGCGTGAATGTCTACATTTTCCGTCGTCTGCCTCGCTCACTCTGCTCGAATCGCGTTCCTGTATCCGGATCAAAGTTGATTAAGAGGTGAGCTTGCCAAACAATACACTCAACTGTCATGACACTTAAAACATTGTGTCCCATTATCCACTTCATTAATGCAGAAAGGAGACAAATGCTGTGAGATGGTCACATGTCGAGTGTTCTTTTGACATACCCATCTTGTCAAACGAACCCCCATATGGAAGCACCAAGGCCTCCGATGCAATCTATCGAAGTCAACGAACCGTTGCAGTTTTGGGGATTGGACGTTTTTGGACCCTTGCTGCTCAGTCGGTCAGGAAACAGGTACATACTAGTGATAATTGACCATTTCATTCGATGAGTAGAAGCCGTGCTGAGCAGGGATTAAACAAGTGAAAGAGTGACACAGGCATTCGAATTTAATGTACCGCAAGTACCGTACAGTGTGTTACTACCGACCAAGGACCCAGTTTTGAGTCGAAGGCGTTTCAGAGCATTGGAAAAGTGGAACATCCAGAGACGACGCACGTCACTGTACCATCCGTAGACCAACGAGTTGACTGAACGGTTTAATCGAACATTGAAGACGTGCATAAACGTTTGGCGCGAGAGGAAGCATTGCCTGGGGTTCTTCTCACGTACAGAACCAGCAAGCAGTGGACCGTGAAAACGTTGCACCATTCGAAGTACAGTTTGGCGGACAACTAAGGATTCCGCTTGATACATGCATAACATACGTAGGAGTGGGACATCCCAGCAACACCGCGAACGTTTGGAAGCAAGCACCAGAAGAGAAACCAGGTTACGACAAGCAAGGAATAAGCGCAACAGCGATGCCAGGTATGCGGCCCACAAGTGAAGGTCTTACAGCGTAGGAGAACAAGTCAAGATAGGAAATCATGATCGCCCAGAACATGGAGGGCCAGGAGCATTGAAGTTCAGGAGAGGTTGGAAAGGCCTCGACGAAGTACTCCATCGGAAAGGAGAGAACTTCAAAATTGACAACGGAGCGCCGCAACGCTGGGTGAATGCCGCCCTGCTGCGGCCGTGCCACGCGAGAGAAAAGCAACCTCGAGAAGGAGCGGTGTGGGAGGCGGAAGGGAGTGATTTCCGGAAAGTAAAGAACACTAAAACAGGGGCGGACGGAAAGGGGAAAGGGCGCAATGAGGGGGAACAGATGGAGCGACACTGGCCTGACGGAACAAGACGAAAATGGGGCACGATCGACGTCCGGTAATGAGCCGGAGCCAGGCAAAAGGGGGAGGGTCTTCGTGAAGAACGTAATAAATGGCAAAGCCGCCCTTATTGCTGCCTTCCGGACCAACCCCAAGCAAAATGATACATCCATGTTCAAGCAAATCCCGAGCTACGGAACGACTCTGGGCTGGTCAGAATGAGACACGTGAAAGCGGAGATACTAGGGTGAAATGGGCAGGGAATACTTCAGCACGAGTCCCCCAAAGTGCGTGGACGTGTCGCGAGCGGAAGCGAGGATGGATGCTGCGTCGTTGAAAGGAAACGTGACTCATTAATGTACGCCTTCGTGAGTGGTCATATAGCTTGTGATCGCGCCAATAAAGATTGTTCTTCACTGCCGCGTCGTTCTGGCACATTTGAATTCGATTCACCCGAATCTGTCTGTATCCTATGAGATGGAACAACATGATAGCCTACCGTTTTCGGACATTTTCATCAAGAGGCGGATCTATGGTACACTGTCTACCGCAAGGCGATCTGGAGTGGGCGATACTTCCAGTTTACTAGCTTTGCTCCCGTTGTATCCAAACGCGGCTTTGTGATAACTCTATAGCGCCAGGCGAAGTTTTAGTGCGGAA